CCCCCCCCCCCCACCCCCATATATGCTTCAAAAGCGTCAACGGGCACAGGGATGGGGTCCTGGCTGTTCGGGGTCGCCACCCTCGTGAACTGTAGTTGTTTTTGATGCCGCAAAGCCAGCAGTCACAGGGATCGGTGGTTCTCATCGCGATCCTCGCACAGCTCCCTGTAACTGTCATCGCTGTTGACACCTCATCTTGTTGTCTCAGTTTTAGAGTAGTCACGGTCACAAGGATCAGCTTGGTCCTCATCTTGCATAAAGCTTCTACAACCCGGCGTAAACCTCTTGAAACTGTTATAAACCTTCTATACACCTCCCAAAAACCTCATGTAAACCACAAGACCCAGACCATAGGTCACAGGACTCCGGGGCAATCCTATGTGAAAGCCAAGGAGATAGGTCATGTTCCTAACCCCAAACCCCAAAACAACATCGGGGGGGCGGGACAGCACCGTAAACCGGGCCAGACCACTGTTACAGCGGGGGGAGGCACCCCCCCGTCCTTTGGGTGGTGGGGGTGGGGGGGGAGCGACACGCCTGGATCATTTTTCCGAATATATCCCTTCCCTATTTTTGATGAAGGGAAAGTTCAAATAGAAGGGACTGGCCTAAATCCACAGATGCTATTACTGTGCAGCGCTGAGGCCAGCTCCCGTCTCTAGGACTTCCAGCCAGGCCAGCCAGACTCTGCCGGGCCAGCGGGTGCGACTTGGGTCCACCAGCTGGGCCGATATCGTCGACGAGGAAGACGAGGACCTCTTGGGGCACTTGGCTAGGGAGGCGATGCACCTGCCTTACTCTGAACAGTTGATGAGTTTGTTGGCCGTGACGTGAGAGGACCCTGCACCGCCCTCCATGGTGGAAGAGCCTGTGCCAGAAGCTGAGCCGGCAGCAGCTGCGGCAGTTGCAGAAGGAGCAGAAGCTCCGGAAGCTGCGGCGGCACCAGCTGGGATGGAGCCCGCTCTTGAGTCCGAGACCGCCCCACGTGACTGCGCGAGCTTGATCAAGGCCTTTGTGCAATGTGCAGGGCGGGGCGTGGAGTGAATGGACACCAACCTGCCAGGAGTACAACGTGGATCCTGACCTGCAGGGATTCCAGAGGTTGT